ATAATAATAATAATAATAATAATAATAATAATAATAATAATAATAATTTAAAGAAATAAACAATGACAAATGTTTTTCGGTTCACTGTTTTGAGCTTGGGAAGCACCAAATAATTATGTTTCATTAATGATTTTTGATGTATATTTAAAACTTACTGAATAAAGAAGCATGTGGATATTTTATAGCATCATTATCTCCTATACATCTATGCACACACACTAATATCTAGTCACACACAAACTTGCATGTATACATATAGATTTTTTTTTTCTCAGAAGTCATGATATAGGTTTCAAGGAACCCATTTCTGAATTTCTTCCTCAGTCCAAATAAGGCAAGGAATGTATTTGGCAATCCCTGTTGTTAGGAAATCTTGAAACTTTACTAAATATTTTCGCTTCAAACATACTTGATATTTACATTTTTAGTCTTGCTTTGTTTTTTCTTTTCTCCTTCCTCCCTCCTTCCCTCCCTCCCGCCCTCCTTCCTTCCTTCCTTCCTTCCTTTCTCCCTGACTGGTATTGAATGCCTCGGCTCAAGCGACCCTCCTGCCTCAGCCTCCCGAGTAGCGGAGCGTCTTCACTTTCATCTGAAGCAGAGCTGTGTTTGTCTCCTGGTTCTTTATCCCTGAGACCATAGAAAACTCAAGTCAGTTGCCAACAAGGGCACTGAAGGGCACATCTCTTCTCCTTCCCTCTGTAGGCAGAGATGGACTTGGTGGCCTGGGGAGTGGACCTGGCCTCGGTGGAGCAGCACATCAACAGCCACAGGATCCTCCACAACGCCATTGGAGACTACCGCTGGCAGCTGGACAAGATTAAAGCCGACTTGGTACTTTTCATTGTTCTATTTTAGAATCCGCCCCACCCCCCCCAAAAAAAAAAAAAAAAAACAACCCTACTGAAGGATTGAGTAATCACTTTCATGGACAATTTTGTCTGAGACAGTCTATTCTGTCTTTCCCAAGAGACTGGAAATTTTTTAAAATCCCATTTCATAAAGGGGAAGGGAAGCCAGATAGACCTTCTGGATCTTGAGGAGGAGCCGATCCCAAGGACGAGAGCATGAGAGCACTCATTTGTTTGCAGTTTGAACACAAGTGCTTTTGGGGGAGATGGGGTGGGGGTGGTCCGTTTCTGCAGAAAGCAGAGCATCACTTCTCATGGAGAAAACGTGATGATCATACCGTTCGTGACCTTGGAGAGTCCTTTGCTAGGTGGGTTTCCTGACACCTCTCCAGTGCTCGAGGAAAGTCAGACTTGCAGCTGGGTCGAGAATGACCCATAAGATATGAATCTGGTCTTAGGTGCTCGGTTTCCTCTTGTATCTCTACACTTTTAAATCACTAACTTTTCCACGTAGATCAAAGCTTCTACCCCCTCCCCCTTTTGGGCCTTATTTTTGTCCACTTAAGGACCTGATTAACTTTCTCCCCTCCTTTCTCCAAGATCTAGGACAACCTAAATCATATTTTCAGACTTTTTTTTTTTTTTTTAAGTTGCAACTAGTGAGTCTTTAAATGACAAAGGTCAGGCCTTTACTTTGTGGCCCTGCTACCAGCCCAGTGAAGGTTTGCTTTCCAAACACCTGGGAGAAGGTCCCCAGGGGTCCAAGACTTCATAGAGCAAATACTTCTTTCTACTGAGGCCAGAATGGACAAAAAAGGAGGTTTCGAAGGGCAGCTCTTTCTCTACAAACCCAAGAGGAGAATTAAATAATGACTTGCTTTTTGTCATCTTTTAGCGTGAGAAGTCCGCCATCTACCAGTTGGAAGAGGAGTATGAAAACCTGCTGGTAAGTCGACTTATTTCTGAATTGCCCGTAGTCTTTGTTTCTCACTCAATACAATACTGTTCACTTCCTGGGGTGAGGCACCTGCTCAGTGTCACCCAGAAGACCCTGGAAGTATTCTTACTTTCTTGCTCATGGATGCTAATTTCATTGCTCCTGCTAAGTTTCCTTTAGAAGTAAATTCTGAAAGTATTTTCTTCTTTCTGCAGATGGTGCCTACAACTATTCTATTTTCAAGTTGTGTTACCTAAATGATGCTTGTTAATAAATACTTACAGCTAAAGCAGTAAAGTCTTGCCACTTTTGAATTGCAGCTTTTTGAAGTATTAGCAAAAATATGATGTATTTTCTTTAGATACTTTCTCATCAGATTCCCATCATATGACAGATTCTGTATCAATCAGGTGATTGATAAGCAGAGATATTTCCATTCTTCTACCTATTTGTGTCACTTTATCTTCACTTTTCCTACATTTCCTTGTTGGCAGCAATATTTTTACAATAATGTGGCTAGTGGTGACAGAACATTTTTTTTTCTTGGGGCTGGGATGGCATCTTGAATATTGCAGGGGAAGGTGACAGTAGGAAAAACTAGAGTCCTGTTTTCCTCCTTATTGTCTAAAACTATCAGATGCAAACTTTGGTATTCAGCGGTAGAGTATTTGCCTGGCCCTAAGTTTAACCCCCAGCATCATAAAAAAAGAAGAAGGAAAAAATCCTCAGGGTTTAGGCTGTTGGAGTCTAACATTGCTGTCCCATTCATCACACGTTTGGACTGGTCCTGTTCCCATGCGAGGTGGTCAGTGACTGTGCACCAGGTTTATAGGCGTTACCTGGTCTTGGAATGATTTTGGTGAAGGAGCTACCGGGGTTTATCTATGAAGTCTGCAGAGGCCACTCTTCATCTGCTCGTGTTATGCTAATGCTTCTTCTGAACTTGCTCTGCAGAAAGCGTCCTTTGAGAGGATGGATCACCTGCGACAGCTGCAGAGCATCATCCAGGCCACCTCCCGAGAGATCATGTGGATCAATGACTGCGAGGAGGAGGAGCTGCTGTATGACTGGAGCGACAAGAACACCAACATCGCCCAGAAACAGGAGGCCTTCTCGGTAAGTTCCCCGGGGAGCTATAGGCGTGGCCTCCAGGCTGTTGCCCTGGGAGCTGCTGGGTGGGGAGAGTGGCCTTTTAATAATGTAATCGTCACTTGTAATTTGGCCTCGGAAAAACGATTCCTTTTCTGAAAGCTGTTCATAGCAGTAAGAGAGGCAATACATTTTTTGTTGTTGTTTTTTTCTTAAGAGGCACGGCCTTCTTATGCTGCCCAGGTTGGTCCCGAACTCTTGAGCTCAAGCAGTCCTCCTTCCTTGGCCTCCCAAGTAGCTGGCACCACAAGTGTACCCTACTGCACTTGGCTAAATAACTTTTTTTTCCCAATGAGTTTGTTTAATATCCCAGAAGACAGTAGTTCATTAGCTTGGGTGAGAATTTATTCACTCAGGTAACCTAGGGTGGGGTAGCAACTGTTCTAATGGTAGATTAAAACCTGGAATTAGGAATTAGAACAGGTTGAGCCATCTTCATTCCAAATTCTGAAATCCAAAATGCAATAAAATTAGAAACTTTTGTAGTGACCATGTGATGCCCTCAGTGGAAAATTTCACACCTGACCTCATGTGAAAGGTTGCAGACAAAACATAGGCACACAAAAAATATCATATAAAATTACTTCCAGCCTATGTCTATCAAGGTGTGTATGAAGCATAGAAATGGAATTTGTGTTTAGTTTTGGGTCTCATCCTTAGAGTATGTTGTTACGTATGTGTCAGTTTCTAAAAATCTGAAAAAAATTAAAATTTAAAACACTTTTGGTCCCAAGCCTTTTGGTCAGGGATACCTAACTGGTATTCATTACAGCTCTGTCACTCTATCAGCATGATCTTTGACAGGGAATGTCACCAATCTGAGGCCTTGGTTCCATATTATCCTGTCACGAACATGCTTCCAGCCTTAAAAATGCTGTGATTCTTGAGGAAAACCTACCATGATGTGTTGCATCTTACGACTAAAACACTCAGGGTCACTCCAGGTGAACTGGGCCACACGGAATAATCACCCAGAGACAGAGATACCTTTTTCTTTGGGTCCCGTGACAGCTCCTCTGACCCGAGGGGTCCGTGGAAAGAGAGAGAGAGAGAAAGATTGAGAATGAGAACGTGCTGAACCCTTTTATTGGAGAGAAGCCATTCAAATGAGACCAGGGGTCAGGTTTTGGGGACGTTGAGTCTGGCTTCATGATGTCTGCTGTCAGCAGATTGACTGACATCTAAGAAGGCCACACCCAAAGGCAGAGGAAGAAAAGGGGACACACAGAGGGAGTTTCCATGGAACACTCTATCCCAAATAGGAAAAAGGGGTAGGATTACAAAAGAAAGGTGAGTGTAGCTCACTCCGGGGGTATGCCTATCAGAAGACTGGCTTGCTGTCCAAGTGAGGGGAAAAGACCAAGTCATGAGTCATGGCACTACCGTGCCAGACTACAGTGACCTTTCAGATCCCCAGGTGCATCAGGACTGGAAGGCGTGGTCACTCAGTGTGGCTCCCCACAATGATGCTTTGACATCGTTCATTTCCCAAATGCAGTACGGTGCTTATCCTCCTCTAAATGTTCGGGCGTGATAGATGTCAAATGGGGACTTGCTCTAAAGAATTTGCTTTTTATCTTTCCATAGATACGCATGAGTCAACTGGAGGTCAAGGAAAAAGAGCTCAATAAGCTTAAACAAGAAAGTGACCAACTCGTCCTCAACCAGCACCCCGCCTCCGACAAAATCGAGGTCAGCTCTGTGAAGAGTGACATTTTAGGAAATCTTAGATACAAATACAAATTACTCTGTTTTGCATTGTATTGCAAAAGCCATCATAGACAGTATGTAATTGAACGAGCATGTTTAATTTTAGTGTTCCAATAAAACTTTGTTTACAAATCCAAGAAGTGGGCCAGATGTGGCTCTTGGGCTGCAGTTTGCTGAGTTCTTCCAGAGACAGCTATCCATGGGCTGTGCTCAAGGCTGATATTAGGTGGTAGCACCGATATGGCCATGTTGGTTGTTGAATTGAAACTTCCATATTGGGTGGTCAGAGTCACTGCCTTAAGGCCCCCAGGCTCTCCTCCTGGATGCTTCCACCTCCCTATGATCTAGCACCTGTCTAGCAGCAGGGCTTGATGTGGCAGAGGGACATCACTCCAGTGCTAGCCCCATTGTCTGTTCTAATTGGTCAGTACCTGCTCCATTTGGATAAGACTTATTTTGACTAAATAGTCCCAATGGTAGGTCTTTATGAAAACTAACTTTAAAATTTGATTTCTTGCATACCAAGAGTTCTCTAGTGGGAGATTCTGTTTTCAACCATTAGACAAAGTTTGGTAGACTTAGAAGAGACAAAAAGGTATTTCCTAGCTTTTGTCAGACCCACCCACTGATGCAGGAAGGTACACCTCTGCCTCTGTGCTGCGAGTGGGGAAAGATAGCTGGTGCTTTCTCCTTTCAGGCGTATATGGACACTCTCCAGACACAGTGGAGCTGGATTCTGCAGATCACCAAATGCATTGATGTTCATCTCAAAGAAAATGCTGCCTACTTTCAGGTTTTTATGACTAACAATCCCATTGTCTTTTAGGTCTTACTACCTTATCTTTTGAGTATGTTTTAAAAGGCCCTGAAAACAATCTTCAAAATAGTGCATAAATCCTATTTATTGGTTTTTCAGTTTAGAGAAGCATAATTTGTAACCAGTTGCTGAGTCTTTTGCTGTCACATACATAAATACTTAATGTTCTAATTCTTTCCTTTAACCACTTACCAAAGAGAGGCTTAGGGATGAGAGTCCTCGAACATAACTACTAAATGATTGTATTAGTCAGTTTTCCATCACTATAACAGAATACCCAAGATAATTAATTTATAAAGAGAAAAGGTTTATTTTGGCTCACATTTTTGGAGGTTCCAGTCCATGATTGATAGGTTCTGTTACTTTGGGCCTGTGATGGAGGCAGATATCATGGTAGGGAGCATGTGGTGGAGCAAAACCACTTACATACTAGCCAAGGAGCAAAGGGAGGAAGAAGAATATTCAGAGTCTCACAGTCATCTTCAAGGTCATGCTCACCAATGACCTAAATACCTCCCAGTAGGCCCCATTTCCTAAAGATTCTCTCACCACCCAATCGCACCCCCTGGAGACCATGCCTTCAAAATATGGGCCTCTAAGGGCCATTTGAGATCCAAACTAGATCCCTAATATTGCTTATGAAGTCACTTTTCATTTAGTCACTTATGAGGCTCACTCTCATCCCTAACAGTTTTTTGAAGAGGCCCAGTCTACTGAATCCTACCTGAAGGGCCTGCAAGACTCCATTAGGAAGAAGTACCCCTGTGACAAGAACATGCCCCTGCAGCACCTTCTGGAACAGATCAAGGAGCTGGAGGTACCGTCTTAGACCAAACTTAGCAGCTACTCCCAGGGGAGATCAATGACAGTCTCAGCCCGCAGTGCTGATTGGTATTGCTGCCCAGTGCATGCCCAGAGCCTGAGCCAGTGTCTTCTTCGTCTTTCAGTAGCTTTTCTCAAAATGAACTTTTCATGCTCAATTACTGTTGAGAGTTTCATTTGCCTTCGAATCCAGATTATTTGCTGAAAACAAAAGTTCAAAGAGCACAGTTTACTCCTCACAAAGTAAATAAGTTCCCAGAAATTCTTCTTTCTTTTTTACTTTCCCTTTGGGAAAACATGCTTCAAATTTGATCACCATGGTCCTTTCGCACAGGGATATTCTTTCCTGCCTGCTTAATTCTTGGTTTCGTAGATCCTGGAGAGGCTTATAAAAGGTGCTCCTGTTCCCTGCAGACAAATGTGTGGCTTATTACAGCTAATGCAATTACAGTGACTTTTAATTTGTAATGTTATAGTAGCTACATCAATGTCATTTGAAGATCTCCTCTAAAAATTTCAGGGCATCTATGTTCAAGGATGATTTTATTTGCAATTGCAGAAAGAACGAGAGAAAATTCTTGAATACAAGCGTCAGGTACAGAGCTTGGTAAACAAGTCCAAGAAGATTGTACAGCTGAAACCACGGAACCCAGACTACAGGAGCAATAAACCCATTATCCTCAGAGCTCTCTGTGACTACAAACAAGACCAGGTGTGTACACAGTTCTTCAAAATGTTCGAAAGTTTTCCTTTTCTTTTCATGAAGACTTTTGTCAATTGAGAGCAAAATTTATTCTCAGTTTCAATAAGTAGCCTAGTCATGTCTTTTATATATAAAGCAGCAACCTATTGAACAAATGCAGTGACTCTTTTCTGAGTCAGTAGATAATTGCCAATCCTTAGGACAATAGTTCTTTCTTTCTTTCTTCTTATTTTTTCTTTGGGTGCTGAGATTGGACCCAGAACCCATGTCATGCTAAACATGGAATCCACCACTGAGCTACACCCCCACTCAAGACAATAATTTTGAGAACTTTAAAAATTCTTTTTAAGGGTTGATACTCCTTTATTTTTTTTAGTACCTAAAATGTATTTATTTGTGATCATTCTCATCTTTATGTTTCTGACAAAAGAAATGAGATATGACTGTAGTATGCTGCCTCTAAAGTGAATGTTTTTGCAAATTTTATGCAATAATTGAGCACACTGATTCTGCAGGCTTGGGTTTCAATATAAGCATTTGTATAGAAAGATGGTTTGGTTTTAATAGTAATTTATATGATTCCCACAGCTCTGTTTTCTTATAAAATCGTGGAGGATTTTAGAAACATGATTAGTTCATCAGATAAACTTTATCAAACATTGAAGTCTGTTCTATTATGTGTTATGTTTTAAGAATTTGTGTGGTGAGAGAATTAAGAAGGAAATTTGAGTGGCAATTGAAATACATAAAAATCAAGTTTCTTCTGTTTTAACAGTGAGATAGTTGTCATATTTTAAGTAGTCTTGTGTGTGAGTATGTGTGTATGTGTCATGCTGGGGATGGAACCCAGGGCCTTGTGCATGCAAGTGCTCTGCTATTGGTCTACACTCCCAGCCCCTAGGTAGCCATTTTGAGAAGCTATATAGGCACTGGAGCTAATTTATAAATGTATGTAGCTATTTAGAGGCTGGTGTTAATTTATAGACGAAGCCATTCAGATGCTGGAGATAATTTTAAAAGTTGTTTTTCAGGACACCAATACCAGAATGCTTTTTATTTTTAGATTTGCAGAGCAAATGAGACCCTTGCCCCCCTCCCACCTCCTGCCAATATTAGATTATTGATATTAAAATATTCAATAATATATTAAAGTCTAATATAAAAAACATGAACTCACGAAAATAGAAACACATAGGGTGAAGTTTTGCTTCACTAACAGATTTCTTTTTTTTTCTTTCTTTTTTTTATTGCGGGGTGTTTTTTTTTTTTTTTTTTTTTTAGAAAGAAGGTTGTAGATACTAAATCCAAGTGATTTGGGTTAGGATTTCTTATGTTCCTGGTGACTTCCCCAGATTATCAGTCACTTTCCCTAATTCACTTAGTTTGCAGCTCACTTTATAAATGCACCCTCCAGGCTCCCATGGATGATGGAAAGCATCAGTATTGTTGGGTTTTATAAAGGTCGGCTTCATGGGAAGGGCAAAAAGGAACAACTTGGGTCATTGATGTGTTTTCATCTCTGTCTTTGAAAAAAAAAAAAAGATGAGAATGTGTTCTGGGGAACACAGCTGAGTGCTGGCTGTTTCCTTGCAGAAAATCGTGCACAAAGGGGACGAGTGCATCCTGAAGGACAACAACGAGCGCAGCAAGTGGTATGTGACTGGCCCCGGAGGCGTGGACATGCTCGTCCCTTCTGTTGGGCTGATCATTCCTCCCCCGAATCCGCTGGCAGTGGACCTCTCTTCCAAGTAAGTTGTCCCACCTGGTCACCCTGGCAGGCATGTGTGTGTGTGTGGGGGGGGGGGGGGATGTGGGGGCGGGGAGAATGTGCCGAGACAACAAGCTTAGATCGGCTGGGGAGGCAGAGGCAGGAGAATTATGAATTCAAAGCCAGCCTCAGCAATTTAGCAAGGCCCTAAGTTATTTAGCGACACCCTGTCTCAAAATATGAAAGGGGCTGTGGATGTCGCTCTGTGGTTAAGTGCCCCTGGGTTCAATCCCTGGTACAAATAATAAAACCCGACTCTGCGGGGGCCACAGTGAATAATACTTGTCACACTCTTTGAAGCTCTTGCTTTGAAGTTTCTCTTGTTAGCAAATCGTTCATTTTGCATGTAGTCCCAAGTGTAAAATTTTGCTTATTAATAGAACATTCATTTTAAAGATCATACACAGAGAAGTTTCTCTTAAACCTTTCAGCATGGAAATCTGCAACCATATGTGGAATAGAGAGAGTAGCTCAATGAGTCCCCATGTCCTCATGAACAGACTTTGGCTGTCATTGGCATCAAATGTGCCTGCCCTGCTACCTCTGTCCATCAAAAGTTGCTGACAAACAACACACCACCCAAAATCCTACTGCATGTTTCTTCCAGAATGATTTGAAGAAGCTATTAAAATGTAGACAAATTGAGCACATACTCTGTAGGGAGTAGACAAGTCCACATCCATCGAAATGTTGACAGTGTTAGAAATTAAACACATGCCTGTTACTTTGTAGGGGATTGTTTCAACTGGGTAAGCACATCAGATTTTGGTGTGGGTTGAGGTGTGAAAGTCCTACCTAGCCTGTTTTCCCTTTGCGCCTCCCAGGATTGAGCAATACTACGAAGCTATCCTGGCTCTGTGGAACCAGCTGTACATCAACATGAAGAGCCTCGTGTCCTGGCACTACTGCATGATCGACATCGAGAAAATCAGGGCCATGACTATTGCCAAGGTACGTCCCCAGGACCACTCAAACCCAAGGCCTGGTGCATACTAAGCAAGCACTGAGCACCGAGCTCCACCCCCAGCCCCCCAGGCAAACCTGTGAGCTGGTAGTTAGCACTTTTGCATCTCATCAAGTGAGGATGCTTAGCCTTCCATAGAGGCTCTGATCTGTCCAGTGTAGAACAGGAGGGGCTGGCAGGGTGGCTCGGTGCTGGAGCTCTTACCTAGCATGCACAAGGCCTTGGGTTCGTCCCTGGCACTGTGGGAAAAAAAAAAATCAGATCAAAAACAGCCAGGAGGAGTCAGCACATGGCTACTTATGAGACAAGCACAAATACTGATTGAAGAAACCTGATGAACTGTGGAAAGGCAAAGTAAGATTCTGGAGCCTATTCTCCTTAGATAAAATGAACCATGAAGTCATGAATGGCTGATTACCACAGAAGTCAGGGCAGAGTAGAACTCTCAGACGAACATGGAAAATGCTAGTTACTATATATCAGGGGTTTTTAAGTTGTCTGGAGAATCTTATTTGGGATGTTTTTAGGGGGTCAGGGATCAGTAAGGAGAGGGACCAGAATGGGCAAATGTTTTTTTTGGGGGGCTCCTCCCTGCTCATTTTTATAGTAAGAGAAGCTTTGCTGTGCCCTAATATTTCATTTAAAGAAAAAAAAATTCCATAGAAAAAAAATCAGACTAGGCACTGTGGTGCACACCTCTAACCCCGTCTGCTCAGGAGACTGAGGCAGGAGGAGCACAATTTTAAGGCCAGCCTCGGCAACCTAGTGAGACCCTGTCTTAAATTTTTAAAGAGGGACTGGTATTGTAGCTCAGTGATAGAGTGACTGCTCAGAATGTGCAGGACTCTGGGTTTGGTCCCCTATAAATCACTTCTTTCTGATTTACCTTGCCTGACTTAACTTGCAGCTGAAGACGATGAGGCAGGAAGATTACATGAAGACCATATCTGACCTTGAGTTACATTACCAAGAGTTCATCAGAAATAGCCAGGGCTCTGAGATGTTTGGTGATGATGACAAGCGGAAGATGCAGTCTCAGTTCACGGATGCACAGAAGCATTACCAGACCCTGGTCATCCAACTCCCTGGCCATCCCCAGCACCAGACAGGTCAGCCTGGGGCATCTTTCTCTTTGTCTCAAACACATATGTGGTGTTAAAAAGAAAGTCATTTGTATGAAACTTGTATCAGATCATTTCTTTGAAAGATATTGTCTTAGTCTGTTTTATGTTGCTATAACAGAGTACTCCAAACTGGGTAATTTATTTTTTTTTTAAAGTTTATTTAGCTCACAATTCTGGTGGCTGGAAAGTATCTGGTGAAGGAACTCTGACTGAATCACAACAGGAGAAGCAGGAAGGGACATGGTCACATGAGAAGGGGCCACATGCATGGGGTGGCCTCACTTAGAGCAACATGCTCTCTGGAGAACGAATCTAGTTTCCAGAGTTTTACTCCAATGCCAAGAGAGGGGGCATTAATCCCTTCTGAGAGTGGAGCCCCCATAATCTAATCACCTCCCACTAGGCCTCCCCACCTCCTAGAAGTCCCATCACCTCAGTAGTGTTAGATTAGGATCAATATTCTGGCATATGAATCTTTGGGGGACTAAGCCTTATCCAAAGGACCCAAAGTCCTTCATACACTGGATTTCTGGAATCAGATCAAAGGAAGTAGGCCTAATTTTGTGCAGTATCGATGTTTTTTGAGGCCTTGCCCCCTGCCAGCTGGGAATTCTCTGATTTTTTGTGGCCCCCCCCCTTTATTTTTCCAGTAACCACAACTGAAATCACTCACGTTGGTTCCTGCCAAGATGCCAACCATAATAAAGTCATTGAGACCAACAGAGAATGTGACAAGCAAGAGACCTGGCTGCTGATGGAGCTCCAGAAGATCCGCAGGCAGATGGAGCACTGTGAGGGCAGGATGTCACTGAAAAACCTCCTGCTGACAGACCAGGGGTCTTCACACCACATCACCGTGAAGATCAATGAGCTCAAGGTGGGTGGGGATCCACTCCAATTCTGCCTGTATTTTTCCATTCATCTGTGATCAGTTAAAGCCTCCTGGTTAGTATGTTTATAGGCAAATACATTAGTCTGTTTTCTTTTGCTACAGTGAGGATTTTTTTTTTAAGGGCAAAAATGATCCTAAAAATCATGGAGGCATATTGCAGAGTAATAAGCATTGATTGTCAGAAATGTGACGTGTTCACAGTGGAATATTATGCAGTTTTTTAAAAAAAGAAAGAATTTTGCTCATCGCAACTGTTATGAATGAACCTGGAGGAGGACAGAGTGCTAAGTGAAATAAGCCAGGCACAGATAAGCAGTGCATGATCTCACTTATGGGTGGAACCAGAAAAAGAGTCAGCATCATAAAAATAGAAAGTAGAAGAGTGATTACCAGGAAGTGGGCCCAGGAAGAGACAGGGAGATGGAGGTCAGAGGATACAGAATTGCAGTTGTGTAGGAGAAGTCTAGAGCTCTAGAGTTTTCCAGAAGGAGGACTACAGGAAATAATATTATGGGAGGCTGAAGCAGGAGGATCACAAGTTCAAGGCAAGCCTCAGTAACTTAGTGAGGACCTGTCTTAAAATAAAAAAGGGTTGGGGATGTAGCTCAGTGGTGAAGCACCTCTGGGTTCAATCCTCAGTACAACACATCCATACACACACACACAAGAAAGAAAGGAAATTTGCTAAGAGAGATTTTCGGTGTTCTTAACACACACACACACACACACACACACACACACATACACACACACACTTACACAAAACCTGTGGAAAATGATTATATATCAATTTGCTTACCTGAGTACTCATTTCCCACATGTATATGAAAATTCGAGGTTATCCACCTGAAGTTACGTATAATAAAAAATAAATTTTCAAAAATCACGCAGCGAATAAGAGGTGCTTTCCTTCCTTTTTGGCAGAGTGTACAGAATGATTCGCAGGCCATTGCAGAAGTTCTCAACCAGCTTAAGGACATGCTTGCTAACTTCAGAGGTTCTGAGAAATATTGCTATTTACAGAATGAGGTGTTTGGACTATTCCAGAAACTGGAAAATATCAACGGTGTTTCAGATGGCTACTTAAATAGGTAGGCACAGCCAACACCAAAGGATGTTTTGCTTTTGCCCAAAGACAATCTTGAAGACTTCATTTACTATGTGTGTGTGGTTCCTGGGGGCTTTGGCCTTATAGATCCTCTCATCACTAGAAGTTTCCTTAACTCTTCTCTGTGGTCTCTGGTTTGGGGAGGGCATCCTCTAGTCTAAGGAGTTAATTCTTTTCTGCAGTCTTAAAACTCTCCTCACATATCTCAGAATTAAGGTATAGGGGCCAGAATTTGGAATTCTTAATTAAATGTGAAACAGTGGTCAGAATTACAAGAGAGAAAAAGATCACCACTTCCATGGCTTATAAAATAGGCGAAGTGTATTGCATGGCCCTGACGTGGTTCTCCTTCATGAGTGGTGGCAGGAGCTCAATGCTTACCCTTTGATGATGTCACTGGGAGTTTTTTCTGCTTCTCTTGCTCTTTCCAGCTTGTGTGCAGTGAGAGCACTCCTGCAGGCTGTTCTCCAGACGGAAGACATGTTAAAGGTCTATGAAGCCAGGCTCACCGAAGAGGAAACGGTTTGCCTGGACCTGGATAAAGTGGAGGCCTACCGCTGTGGACTGAAGGTAATACCAGCCGCCCAGTTCATGGGAAGTGACAGGGGACCCAGCTCCCGATATACACCTCACCTAGTTTTCATGAGTGTTGTTTTGATTTTTTTTTTTTTATATTGGGATTGAACCCAGTGAACTCTATCACTGAGTTATACCCTCAACCTTTTGTTTGTTTGTTTGTTTTTAATTTTGAGACAAAGTCTTGCTAAGTTGCTGAGGCTGGCTTTAAATTTTCGGTCTTCCTCCCTCAGTCTCCTAAATCACTGGGATTACCTGCATGCACCACCAATCTGGCTTGTTTTCCTCTAACTTTCTGAAGTGCATTTTACTTTTAGAACAGTTCCAGATTTATGGAAAAAATTGACAAGACAGTATAGACAGTCATATATCCTGCCTCTAGTTTCTCCTGTTATTAGTATCTTAAAATTGTATGAAATATTTGTTATGACGATGAATCGATATTGATATATTAATATGAACTAAAGCTCATACTTTATTCAGACTTCCTCCATTTCATGAATTGTGAAGATTCCTGGCTTTCACTGGCCACACATGTTGATACCAGTTGTCACCTCCGGAACTCTGTTTCCCAGCGTGTATTAGCAGGAACTCTATGAGAAAGTAATTTGTGGTGGGATTAGTTTGGGGAATTGTGAGTCTAACTGATTTCTTTACTATGGAGCTCCTCAGAACCTTTAATATGTTCATAGGCATTATAATTATTCAGGAATAGTATGTCATGTTTAGCAGTTCTCAAGCCAATTTACACCCTGGCTTCTTTTTTTTTTTTTAACCAGGGTAGCACAGGGAACTAGATCACTGGAATAAATCCTGAGAAACAGAAATTCAGTAAATGTATTTCCCTGGGTTGATCATCACTAAAACATATGAATAAAGACTTCAGTAAACTTTCTCTTTTCTTTGCAGTGGTGAGAATTGACCCCAGGGTCTTATATATACCAGCCCACTCTCCCACTGAGCTACATGCTGAACCCCGAAAACTTTTTTGTTGTTTGTTTTTATTTAGTGATTTGTCGTGTAGCATCGAGTGGGAAAAGAGCTAAATTTGTATGTGCTCATTTTTTTTTCTTTTAAAAAAATCTCTTGCAGAAAATAAAAAATGACTTGAACTTGAAGAAGTCGTTGTTGGCCACCATGAAGACGGAACTGCAGAAAGCCCAGCAAATACACTCTCAGACCTCCCAGCAGTATCCGCTTTACGACCTGGATCTGGGCAAATTCAGTGAAAAAGTCACACAGCTGTCAGATCGCTGGCAAAAAATCGACAAACAGATAGACTACAGGTGTGCCAACCCCATCCCAGTTTCTCCTCTGCTGGTGGTGCCAGTGGATAATGCCACTTGAAGCATTTTATTTTTGCTACCAAAAATAATGCTTTGGTCTTGTGCACAAATGAAGCCCTAATAGGTGCTCTTCTCGAAACAGAGAGTAGATCCCAATAGCCTTCCAAGGACCTCAAGAAATAGCAGAAGTCATTGACAAGTTCTTTTAGGCCCTGTCAACTCATGTGATGGCCATTCGAAGGAGGAGTGGCTTTGAATGTATTTTTGTCCAAAAATTAAATTGTTTGCAAAGGGAAATGCCTTACTGCAGATGAGGGTCTAAAAACATCTACTGACAAAGGTCTACTGAATTGCCTTGCTTATTGTTTATTTTAAGTGCTTTTTAAAATCATCATGGAGCTATGACCCGTATACAATTCACTCATTTAAAAATACGATTCAGCAGATTTTAGTATATTCAGAGTTGTGCAAACACCACAACCTGATTTTGGGGGGTGGTGGTGCAGGGGATGGAACTCAGGGCCTTGCAAGTGGTAGGCAAGTGCTCTACCACTGAGCCACATCCCCAGCCTTACAACATGAGTGTGGAACATTTTCATTACTCCCCAGAGAAACCTGTATCCAGGGGCAGTCACCTCCCTTCTCTCCCAGTCCCCTAGTTCTAGACAATCACTGAGCTGCTTTCTGTCACTCTACATCTGCCCATTCTGGACACTTGGTATAAATGGAATCATATAATATTATGGCCTTGGGCTTTTTTCACATAGTGCAAATGCTTCCAAGGTTTATTCACATTGTACCAATTCTTCTTATTTTTTTTTAATTCCTCTCTCTCTCTTTCCTTTCTTTTTATGACCAAATAGTATTCCATTGCTTGGCTACTCCACAATGTTCTTTATCCTTTCTTCGTTTGACAGCTACTTGGGTTGTTCCCAGTTTGGGGATACCGTGGGAAGTGCTGTTATGAATGTTCGTGCGGGCACGTGTTCACAGTGGAATTGCAGGTGGCTCAGTCTGTACCTATTTTAGGAATAATAACAGCGATCTTAATAATTTTGTTTCATCTATTTTTTTCCCAGATTGTGGGACCTTGAGAAACAAATCAAACAACTAAGGAATTATCGTGATAACTATCAGAGTTTCTGCAAGTGGCTGCACGATGCCAAGCGCCGCCAGGATTCCTTGGAGTCCATGAAATTTTGCGACTCCAACACCGTCATGAGGTTTTTGAACGAGCAGAAGGTATAAGCCAATTTGTCATTCCATAGTTGTTTTGAGATTAATTGGGTGTAGGCTGTACTTTCTTCTGGTTTTCACAGTACCTTCATTTGAAATGATATGTATTTCATATTATATATCCATTTTGCTTTAAAAAATGCCCCAGTGAATAGTGACTGAGGTATTTAGAAACTAGTGTCATTATGGATGCAGAAATAATGTAATATTGTTCTTTGCATGTTCTAGTAAAGTAGCTTTAAGTAACCTCTTATAAATAATGATGATGATGATGATGATGTAGTAACTTTTTTCCTGATCCTAAATGTAACTGAAAGCAAGAGGCCGGTATGTGTAGTTGTAAGTGAAAAAAAAAAAGAAAAGAAACCAGTAACCATGGAAAAAGAGTGAAAGAACATTTATTTTAAAACTTCTGGATGCTTTAACATTTGTAAAATTGTATTCTTTGAATAGAACTTGCACAATGAAATATCTGGAAAACGAGACAAATCAGAAGAAGTGCATAAGGTCGCTGAACTTTGTGCAAATTCCATTAAGGTATGTTGGTTTCATTAAGCATGTTGGTCTTGGGGCTGGGGTTGTGGCTCAGTGGCAGAGGGCTTGCCTAGCAAGTGTGATGTGTTGGGTTCGATCCTCAGCACCACATAAAAATAAATAAAATAAAGGTAGTATGTCCATCTTTAAAAAAAGGAATGTTGGTGTTTTGTCAAGATTCTTATTGCTGTGATATTTGCTTTAAAGATTATAAACTTTTGAGCATAGTGATTATGACTTCTCTGTTTTCTCTTTCTGAACAAACCGTAAGAGTTTGTTATCTACTAACTTGAATTCATTGCACATTGGTGCTGTCTCTGGAACTGGCTAGTCTTTATTCTTGAGATGTGCTTCATTTAATAACATAATATTAGCTGCTTGGACCCTACAGCGCAACACAGTCTTTGGGGTGGGTGATTAGAAATAATTTGAGGATTTAAATGTGAAATTGTAGCTGTTAGTGACAACTCCTTTTGAGTCCATTAAGAATGGTTTTCTAAGGGTTGGGGTGTACTTGGGTAATAGAGCACTTGCCTAGCATGCTTGAGGCCCTGGGCTTGATCACAAGCATTGCCAAAAAAAAAAAAAAGTTTTCTTAAACTTTTCTTCTGTAGGATTATGAACTCCAGCTGGCATCATACACCTCCGGCCTGGAAACTCTACTGAACATACCTATCAAGAGAACCATGGTTCAGTCCCCGTCTGGGGTGATTCTGCAAGAGGTACATGTGGTTACAGATCCCTGAGAGTCCACCCTTCCTTCTGTCTCCCATTTCCCTGTTTCTTGCCTGTTCATCCTGAAGTCATCCCTATTATAGGATATCCACTAAAAAAAACGTTTTAATAGCAGGTTATGCCCCCTTCACTGTGAGTCATCAATACATGACACATTTTAGGAAATGATCAGTGGAGTCTGAGTGTATCGTTTAATATGTTAGTCTTTACAGAAATTGGATTTAAATTTCTGGGTTTGGTGAAGGAGACTTCTAAAAAGTGGGTATTATATATAGGGGGAGTAACTTTCTAAAAGACAACTTTTCCCCAAAGATTTTAGAGAATATCAACCATCAGATGGTTTAGGGGGGGAAAAATCCTAGAGCAACAAGAATGGAGTATAAATGTTTTGGACCCTTTGTCTTGCTGTTCTTCTAGATTTTGGAACAAGCATACATGAAAGAAAGGAATTTACTTTTTAAATTATAATGTCATGATTTCATTATCTTAGAAAGCAAAATTGATCAGCCTGCATAGAATGCATATGACTTTTTAAAATGATATATATAATGTTTTCTTTCTTTTCTTCCTTTTCTCTAAGGCTGCAGAGATTCATGCTCGGTACATAGAACTACTTACAAGGTCTGGAGACTATTATAGATTCTTAAGTGAGATGCTGAAGAGTTTGGAAGATCTGAAGGTATTGACTATTTCCTTGGATTATCAAAAAAATAAAATAGAGCCGGGCACAATGGTGCATGCCAGTAATCCCAGCTACTTGGGAGACTGAGGCAGGAGGATTGCAAATTTGAGACTAGCCTCTGCAATTTATCGAAATTCTATCTCAAAAATTAAAAGGTTTGGAGACGTAGCTCAGTAATGCAGCACCCTGGGTTCAATCCCAGTACCAGGAAAAACAGAAGAAAAGAAAATAGAATAGAATGGTATTATTACTACATCATTATTGTGAATTTAGAAACTGATAAAGCTGAAATTTCCAGTAAAAATTCAATGTAATACAGTTTGTGAGTTTGGGATTAGTCCTATGCTCCTCTAAATGGATTTAGATATTTGCAATATTGCAGCCACTTAATTTTGCTGGAAAAAAACAACAATAATTTATAGGTGTTTGGTCAAGGATTTTGCTTTATTTCTTTGTGTAAAATTTTGGGTAAGTACATCCTGGACTAGCTGGATTTGAATCTTTCATGTTGAATAATTACTCAATTGACTCCTCCTTTCTAATATTGGAATTGAGTTTATGGGGGAAATAAAAGGAACATCTGGCTGCAATCCCAGCAACTCAGGAGTCTGAGGCAGGACGATCACAATTCAAGGACAGCTTCAGCAACTTTTGTGAGATGTTTAGCAACTTAGCAAGACCCTGGTCTCAAAATAAGAAATAAAGGGATGGGGATATAGCTCAGCTGGTACAATGCTTGCCTCGCATGCACAGGGCCCTGGGTTCAATCCCCAGCACCACAAAAATAAATAAATAGGCTGAGGATGTCACTCAGTGGTAAAGCACTCTGGGTTCAACCCCTGGTACCAAAAAAACCAAAACTCAAAACCTCACAAACAAATAAAAAGGAGCATCTTGTATGAAATCATACACTTTTAATCTTGAAAGAAATGATTCTATTTTATAGATGAGGAAGCTGAGGCTCAAAGATGACCTGTCATTCTGACTTTATGCAAGAGGTTGATGGGAAAATTGGGAAGAGGCTCGAGATTTCTTGAGCTTTTGTCTAGTAGTTTTTGCCTCATCACTGTGAGTGTGTTGGTGGGTGTGTAAAGATCAAGACGAATGTACATCGGTCTGGGAGGGGAAACATATTACTTCTGTCTCGTGGTGCCAGGTGCTTTTCTTGCAACCTCACTTTCTCCTTTTGCTTCCGCAGCTGAAAAACACCAAAATCGAAGTTTTGGAAGAGGAGCTCCGACTGGCCCGCGATGCCAACTCGGAAAACTGCAACAAGAACAAATTCCTGGATCAGAACCTACAGAAATACCAGGCGGAGTGTTCCCAGTTCAAAGCGAAGCTCGTGAGCCTGGAGGAGCTGAAGAGACAAGCCGAGCTGGACGGGAAGTCGGCCAAGCAAAATCTGGACAAGTGCTACGCCCAGATCAAAGAGCTCAACGAGAAGATCACCCGGCTGACCTACGAGATCGAAGACGAGAAGCGCCGGAGAAAGACGGTGGAGGACAGATTCGACCAACAGAAGAACGACTATGACCAGCTGCAGAAAGCCAGGCAGTGCGAAAAGGAGAGCCTCGGTTGGCAGAAACTAGAGTCTGAGAAAGCCATCAAGGAGAAGGAGTACGAGATAGAGAGGTTGAGGGTTCTTCTGCAGGAGGAGGGCGCCCGGAAGAGAGAATATGAAAATGAGCTGGCAAAGGTAAGAAACCACTATAATGAGGAGATGAGTAATTTAAGGAACAAGTATGAAACAGAGATTAACATTACGAAGACCACCATCAAGGAGATATCCATGCAGAAAGAGGATGACTCCAAAAATCTCAGAAACCAGCTGGACAGACTCTCGAGGGAGAACCGAGATCTGAAGGATGAGATCGTCAGGCTCAATGACAGCATCCTGCAGACCACCGAGCAGCGGAGGAGGGCGGAAGAGAGTGTCCTTCAGCAGAAAGCCTGCGGCTCCGAGATCATGCAGAAGAAGCAGCAACTGGAGATCGAACTGAAGCAGGTCATCCAGCAGCGCTCGGAGGACAACGCCCGGCACAAGCAGTCGCTGGAAGAGGCGGCCAAGACCATTCAGGATAAAAATAAGGAGATCGAAAGGCTCAAAGCCGATTTTCAGGAAGAGGCCAAGCGCCGCCGGGAATATGAAAACGAACTGGGTAAGGTAAGGAACAGTTACGATGAGGAGATCATTAGCTTGAAAAACCAGTTCGAGACTGAGATCAACATCACCAAGACCACCATCCACCAGCTCACCATGCAGAAGGAAGAGGACACCAGTGGCTACCGGGCCCAGATAGACAATCTCACCAGAGAAAACAGGAGCTTATCCGAGGAGATAAAGAGGCTAAAGAACACCTTAGCCCAGACCACTGAGAGTCTCAGGAGGGTTGAAGAAAACGTCCAGCAGCAAAAGGCCACGGGCTCGGAGATGTCTCAGAGGAAACAGCAGCTGGAGATCGAGCTGAGACAGGTCACTCAGATGCGAACGGAGGAGAGCATGAGATACAAGCAGTCCCTGGACGACGCTGCCAAGACCATCCAGGATAAAAACAAGGAGATAGAGAGGCTGAAACAACTGATAGAGAAAGAAACAAATGAAAGGAAATGTCTGGAAGACGAGAATGTGAAATTGCAAAGGGTCCAGTATGACCTGCAGAAGGCCAACAGTAGCGCGTCGGAGACCATAAGCAGATTGAAGGTTCAGGAGCAAGAGCTGACGCGCCTGAGAATCGACTACGAAAGGGTCTCCCAGGAGAGGACCCTGAAGGATCAGGATATCACACGGTTCCAGAGCTCCCTGAAGGATCTGCAGCTGCAGAAGCAGAAAGTGGAGGAGGAGCTCAATCGGCTCAAGAGGACAGCCTCCGAAGACTCTTCCAAGAGGAAGAAGTTGGAAGAAGAGCTGGAAGGCATGAGGCGGTCTTTGAAAGAGCAAGTCATCAAAATCACCAACCTGACCCAGCAGCTGGAGCAGGCGTCCATTGTCAAGAAAAGGAGCGAGGATGACCTCCGGCAGCAGAGGGACGTGTTGGAGGGCCACCTCAGGGAGAAGCAGAGGACCCAGGAGGAGCTGAGGAGGCTGTCCTCCGAGGTCGAGACCCTGAGGCGGCAGTTGCTCCAGGAGCAGGAAAACGTCAAGCAGGCTCAGGTGAGGAACGAGCATTTCCAGAAGGCCATAGAAGATAAGAGCAGAAGCCTAAACGAAAGCAAGATAGAAATCGAGAGGCTGCAGTCACTCACCGAGAACCTGACCAAGGAGCACCTGATGCTGGAGGAAGAACTGCGGAACCTGAGGCTGGAATACGATGAGCTGCGCAGGGGCCGCAGCGAGGCGGATAGCGATAAAAACGCCACCATCTCCGAGCTCAGGAGCCAGCTGCAGATCAGCAACAACCGAACCCTGGAACTGCAGGGGCTGATTAATGATTTACAGAGAGAGAGGGAAAATTTGAGACAGGAAATTGAGAAATTCCAAAAGCAGGCTTTAGAGGTATTCACAAATATTTGATCACAGCTTCACTGTTTCTCAAATGATTCACTCTACGGTCATCTCTCCTGAACTGTGTTCTTGCTACTGACGTGGATGCTTCTAGAATGTCTGATTTTTCTTTTGATGGCTTAACTGCTACCTGTCAAAAGTCCAGATAACTGCTTTAAGATAATTTCAATGCCCTTCCCCTTTCCTCCTGTAATTACATAATTTGTCAGTCTGTGTGGGGCCTATTTGGCCCAGCTCTTAAGAACTTGAGCATGGCCGGGCATGGTGGCGCATGCCTGTAATCCCAGCAGCTGGGGCGGCTGAGGCAGGAGGATTCAAGTTCAAAGCCAGCCTCAGCAAATTAGCGAGGGCCTAAGCATCTTGGAGAAATCCTGTCTCTAAATGAAATATTTCAAAAGGACTTGGGATGTGGCTCAGTGATTAAGCTCCCGTGAGTTAATCCCCAGTACCAAAAAAGAAAAAGAAAACTTGAGCATAAGAATAACATGTAAGATCACTTTCTCTGACTGTTCTCCTTTGCTTTCTAGAAAGTAGCTCTTGGCTGGGGTGAAGCTCAGCAGCAGAGCCTGTGCTTAGCATGCATGAGGTTCAATCCCTAGCACCAAAAAATTAAAATAAATAAATAACCAAAATATAAAATGAATAAATAAGTAAGATAGTGAGCTGGGATGCACATTTTAAATTTGAACTTTTCTCAAATCCACATTAAAGCATTTTTCTGTGCGATTTTTAAAATCACCTTTCCTTGCTTGCTTAGATGATTTTTCTGCATGCATTTTTCTGCTCTCTTCTGTGCCTCACTTTTTTTTTTTTTAATTGGTGCATGATGTTCCGTTCTCTTTTGATCATGATCCTTGTGTTTCTTTCTGTTTGTCCTTTCTTCTTTTAACCTCTAATTTAAAGATAACTTCTTTGACCTCCACAGACAATATTTGTGTGGGATTGGGTGTGTGTGGGGGGTGTATATCTGTATGTTGCTATTGCTTTCTTAAACATGTTAACCTAGCTGTAACAGGTGAGAAGTAGGTATAGCAGGGATGATAACCTGGATCAAAACTCCCCATAGGTTTTTGAACCATAATTATTTTTAAGAGTAAGGTCTACAACTTCTAGTTCCTTCTATGGGAAAAAAAAAAGGAAAATAAACAGTAAGTACGAAGCCATTTATCAGAGTGGCAAGATATATTTACAGAACTTTTCCATGAATTTATAAGATTGTGAGTTAAGAGTATATCCAGAGAAAGCATAGAAAGGAAAAATAAGTAAACAAGTTAAAAAAGATACAGGAAGTGAAGTGAAATGACGATGGTCCCATGATATGATCAAAATGTTATTTTTCTCCCTTTTCTTTTTTTTTAATTCTAGGCATCTAACAGGATTCAGGAATCCAAGAGTCAGTGCACTCAGGTGGTGCAGGAAAGAGAGAGCCTTCTGGTGAAAATCAAAGTCCTGGAGCAAGACAAGGCGAGGCTGCAGAGGTTGGAGGACGAGCTGAATCGTCTGAAATCGTCCCTAGAGGCCGAGAGCAGGGTGAAGCAGCGCCTGGAGAGCGAGAAACAGCAGATCCAGAATGACTTGAACCAGTGGAAAACCCAGTACTCCCGCAAGGAGGAGGCGATTCGGAAGATAGAGGCAGAAAGAGAAAAGAGCGAGAGGGAGAAGAACAGCCTTAGGAGTGAGATCGAAAGACTCCAGGCAGAGATCAAGAGGATTGAAGAGAGGTGCCGGCGGAAGCTGGAGGATTCTTCCAGGGAGACTCAGTCCCAGCTGGAGACAGAGCGCTGCAGGCTTCAGAGAGAGATCGACAAACTCCGACAGCGCCCCTACGGGTCCCACCGGGAGACACAGACCGAGTATGAGTGGACCGTCGACTCCTCCAAGCTGGTGTTTGACGGCCTCAGGAAGAAGGTGACGGCCATGCAGCTGTACGAGTGCCAGCTGATTGACAAAGCAACCTTGGACAAACTGTTGAAGGGCAAGAAGTCGGTGGAAGAAGTCGCTTCTGAAATCCAGCCTTTCCTCCGGGGTGCCGGAGCTATCGCAGGAGCGTCTGCTTCTCCTAAGGAAAAATACTCTTTGGTAGAGGCCAAGAGAAAGAAGCTAATCACCCCGGAATCTACTGTCATGCTTCTGGAGGCCCAGGCGGCCACGGGTGGCATCATTGATCCCCATCGGAATGAGAAGCTGACCGTGGACAATGCCATCGCTCGGGACCTGATCGATTTCGATGACCGCCAGCAGATCTATACGGCCGAAAAAGCCATCACTGGTTTTGATGATCCATTTTCAGGCAAGACGGTGTCTGTTTCAGAAGCCATCAAGAAGAATTTGATCGACAGAGAAACGGGGATGCGTCTGCTGGAAGCCCAGATCGCTTCAGGGGGTGTAGTCGACCCCGTGAATAGTGTCTTTTTGCCAAAGGATGTCGCCTTGGCCCGTGGGCTGATTGACAGAGATTTGTATCGGTCCCTGAATGACCCCCGAGATAGTCAGAAGAATTTCGTGGATCCGGTTACCAAAAAGAAGGTCAGTTACATGCAACTGAGGGAAAGGTGCAGAATCGAACCCCACACCGGTCTGCTCTTGCTGACGGTACAGAAGAGAAGCATGTCCTTCCAGGGTATCAGACAGCCCGTGACCGTCACCGAATTAGTCGATTCTGGTATATTGAGACCATCCACTGTCAATGAACTGGAATCAGGTCAGATTTCTTATGATGAGGTTGGTGAGAGGATTAAGGACTTCCTCCAGGGTTCCAGCTGCATAGCAGGAATATACAATGAGACCACAAAACAGAAGCTTGGCATTTACGAGGCCATGAAAATCGGCTTGGTGCGACCTGGTACTGCTCTGGAGTTGCTGGAAGCCCAAGCTGCCACCGGCTTTATCGTGGATCCTGTTAGCAACTTGAGGTTACCTGTGGAGGAAGCCTACAAAAGAGGTCTGGTGGGCATAGAGTTCAAAGAGAAGCTCCTGTCTGCAGAAAGAGCCGTCACTGGTTATAATGACCCTGAAACTGGAAACATCATCTCTCTGTTCCAAGCCATGAACAAGGAACTCATCGAAAAGGGCCATGGCATCCGCTTACTGGAAGCCCAGATTGCCACTGGAGGGATCATTGATCCGAAGGAGAGCCATCGTTTACCCGTTGACATGGCGTACAAGAGGGGCTACTTTAATGAGGAGCTCAGTGAGATTCTTTCAGATCCAAGTGATGACACCAAAGGATTCTTTGATCCCAACACTGAAGAAAACCTTACCTATCTGCAACTCAAAGAAAGATGCATTAAGGATGAAGAGACGGGGCTCTGTCTTCTGCCCCTGAAAGAAAAGAAGAAACAGGTGCAGACCTCGCAAAAGAATACCCTCAGGAAGCGCAGAGTGGTCATAGTTGACCCAGAAACCAATAAGGAGATGTCTGTCCAGGAGGCCTACAAGAAGGGCCTGATCGATTATGAAACCTTCAAAGAACTGTGTGAGCAGGAATGTGAGTGGGAAGAAATAACCATCACGGGATCAGATGGCTCCACCAGGGTGGTCCTGGTGGACAGGAAGACAGGCAGTCAGTATGACATTCAGGATGCTATTGACAAGGGTCTTGTCGACAGGAAGTTCTTTGATCAGTACAGATCCGGCAGCCTGAGCCTGACCCAGTTTGCCGACATGATCTCCTTGAAAAACGGCATCGGCAACGGCAGCGGCATGTCCACCAGTGTCAACGATGATGTTTTTAGCAGCTCCCGACACGAATCGGTGAGTAAGATTTCCACCATCTCCAGCGTCAGGAATCTAACCATCAGGAGCAGCTCTTTTTCCGACTCCCTGGAAGAATCTAGCCCCATTGCGGCCATCTTTGACACGGAAAACCTGGAGAAGATCTCCATCACAGAAGGTATAGAGCGAGGCATCGTTGACAGCATCACCGGGCAGAGGCTTCTGGAGGCTCAGGCCTGCACTGGGGGCATCATCCACCCGACCACCGGCCAGAAGCTGTCTCTTCAGGATGCCGTCTCCCAGGGTCTAATTGACCAAGATATGGCCACCCGGCTGAAGCCTGCCCAGAAGGCCTTCATTGGCTTTGAAGGTGTGAAGGGGAAGAAGAAGATGTCAGCAGCAGAAGCAGTGAAAGAAAAATGGCTCCCCTATGAGGCAGGCCAGCGCTTCCTGGAGTTCCAGTACCTCACGGGTGGCCTTGTTGACCCAGAGGTGCATGGAAGGATAAGCACAGAAGAAGCCATCAGAAAGGGGTTCATCGACGGCCGAGCGGCTCAGAGGCTGCAAGACACCAGCAGCTACGCCAAAATCCTGACCTGCCCCAAAACCAAGTTAAAAATATCCTATAAGGATGCCATGAATCGCTCGATGGTAGAGGATATCACAGGGTTACGCCTTCTGGAAGCTGCCTCCGTGTCGTCCAAGGGCTTACCCAGCCCTTATAACATGTCCTCAGCCCCAGGCTCCCGCTCTGGCTCCCGCAGTGGGTCCCGCTCTGGCTCCCGCAGTGGCTCCCGCAGTGGCTCCCGGAGGGGAAGCTTTGATGCCACAGGAAATTCTTCCTACTCTTATTCCTACACATTTAGCAGTAGCTCCATTGGGCACTAGTGGTCAGTGGGAAATGGTTGCTCTACCTTGGATCCATTTAAATGAATGTCTATTTTATTAAGTAACAAACAAAAAAATAATAATAAAAAGAAAGAAAAAAGAAGACCGGGTGCTTGCAGTATAGCGATAGAACTTTCTATGCTTTAAGATAGCCATGGTTGAAATCAAGTAATAAAGGCTGTTCTGGTTTCTTATCTTTTGAGTTCTTCTTAACTAATGTAGTACACTTCAATGGTAGTGTATATGGAGTGGTGATCACTTGTAAGGATAGCACAAATTGAATTTAACATTTGTTCCTTCTCTTCTGTGTTTAGCTTTTTGATCAGTTCTTGAATTTTTTTTTTTTTTTGGCCTCTAAGGCAGATTTATATTCTTGGAGACAATACTTAAATTCATCTCTGATGTGCTAATTATCATTCTGTTTCTCCTCTACATAGTTCCATTTTCTGTATTAGGAGAAAATTACTCCCACTCCCACCGTACCCCACCCACCCACCCACCCCAAGCATTTTGGAGTGAGTTTCCTTTAGTTTAAGAATGTGGATTTTGTAACCCATATACCCTTTATTGCACCTGTTTGGTTTGGTATTACTTTGACTATGTGCATGATAGCAGCCATCTTTTTTGCTGGTCATTTTCTATGTACTTTTAAAAGGTGTCTCTATGAAGTTTGCTGATCTGGCAATAAACATTTAGACTATGGAAGTTTTGTGTGTTGATTTCATAGTACGTTCAATAGTATGTACACAGAAGGACATTTAGCAGCAGCGTTGTATTTATCATAAAACAGGACTAAATTGATTGTTTACTAAATAACCTAATAGAAGAAGGACATTAAAATTGTATATCTCTTTGCAATTCTTGTTAGAAAGTGATCTTCTGAAGATAGTTCTTTCCACACTTTTCTACCAGCTGTGTATCAGGTAGAATCTTTGGAAGGAAGCCAGTGGAAATAGGTCACTTCAAAAGTTAAAAACCTGCCCTGGCTTATTCTGGACAGTGGGTACCAAGAAGCATTGGCAAAAGTCACTGTCATAAAAATGAAAAATCACTAAGTGGCTAAGATGACTTTTGGGGATAACTTCAAAACACATAGTGTTTCCCAGCAGCTTGGGAGGCTGAGGCAGGAGGATCACAAGTTCAAAGCCAGCCTCAGCAATTTAGTGAGGCCCTAAGCAACTTAGTGAGTCCCTGTCTCAAAAACAAAACAAACAAAAAACAAAACAAAACGGGGGGGTTGGGGATGTGGGTAAGCGGTTGAGCACTCCTGGGTTCAATCTCAAGTAACAACACAAAACAAAAGACAAGTGTTTTATTTTGTTCCCCAAGAGGAAAGAATTGTCCCTGAATCTATGAAAATGATTCCTGAAGAGTTCTAGGCCTTTGGTTGAAGTACCATGAAATAAAGGTGTATTCCTTTGGATCAAGAAGAAACTATCTATGATCCAGCATTTGTCATTAAATTAATATGACTTGACTTAATACCCATGTCTGGTGCTGTGAAGATTCAGTAGAATTTACAAGTTCTCCGACTACAAGGCATTTGCAGTCTGGGTGGGGACAGGAGACACACAAAACAATCGGTGGCAAAACTTTTAAATGTCAGCAACGTATATCAGTAAAATTAAACAAACCTCGTAATACAGATAGAAAATAGGGAGCAAATGAGGTTCTAAAATTGGAGAATGATAAAAATCATTAAAGTCAGCTCCACTTAAGTTATTGGGGCTTTTGGTACTTAGAGTGAAATTATTTCCATTCTCAACAAATGGACTGTTTTTCCTTCACATCTTTCCTTTCTTTTTATTTTACTTTTCTTTTTCCTCCCCTTAATCTCCTCTCCAAATTTGGAGGAATTGAAATGAATTTTATTCACTGGATATTGAGTTCTGTGTACCCTGAATGGTGCCAGAAGCCATGGGTCCCATGCTAGGAACAGATGGTACAAAAACAGCCCTTGTCATCTAACAGGAAAAAGAGCAAATGCTGTGGGGTGTGGAAGAGGAAATTCCTTATGCTAGAGCTAGGAGTCTCTCTTAGTCACTTCAGGCTGTCATAACAAGGTACTGCAGATTGAGTGGCTTAACCAACTATATTTTCTTATAATTCTGGAGGCCGGAAATCCAAGTTCAGGTGTTGTCAGGGTTGGTTTCTCATGAGACCTCTTCTCCTGGCTTGTGCATGGTCACCTCCTTGATGTGTGGTCACATGGATTTTTCTTTATGCACATGTGGAGAGAGGACTGGGCGGGGGGAGAGGTAGGAGAGGGAGAGCTCTGGTATCTCTTCTTTATTAGATTAGGGGCTCATCTTGACCTCGTTTACCTCCTGAAAGTCCCTATCTCCATATACAGTCATATTGTGAATTAGGGCTTCAATAGATGATTTTGGCGAGGAGGACCCAATTTAGTCCATAACAAGCCTATCCCAGAACAGGTCTAGAGACCTCTCCACGAAAGTGATTAAATGGCTTAACAGCATCAATGTACAGTGATTCCCCAGGTTAACACAGTAACTACAAAGGAATACAGACAGCTGACAAATCTTCCCCACTCCCTCCAAGCTCCTGTCAGCTGTCACTAAGCTTTGAGATAAAACCGATAGTGCCCTCAAAAGAGGAAATACCTGACCTGGGCTGTTTTGACTTGTTTCACATACACAGTACATCCACTTTCAATAGAATCATCACGGCACACCCAAAATTAGTGTACACATTTCCCAGATCATTTGGCTAACTATGGTAATGCAAATAAAAAGTAAAAATGGTGTGGGCAGAGTATGAAAAAATTACTTCTAGAACTTAACTCTTATTCCACATCTGCTTATAGCTACTGGCCTACTGCATTTTATGGTGCTATCTATAATATTATTACCACTTTTTAAAATGTCAGAACTATGTTATTTGTCTTTGGAAATAATAATTGTTCAAAAGTTTTCTTCATCATTCCTTTATCAAAGGTAAACAGTGCAAAGGGAAGCATAGATTTGACAATCAGGCTTGAAAAAAATAAAAATGTAAAAATATTAGGTTCTGGATGTTAAAACCACGTAGGAAAACTAAAAGCTGATTCCAGATCTTGAGAAGGAAAAATACAAAACATGGGCAATCAAAACAAAGCACCCAGGCTAAAGGGGATATGTCAAAGATGCATAAGGGGTGGCTTAATGTGGTTTCCACTGGCCAAATTTAGGACAATTTGAGTATCAACAAGAATTTTTTGATGATAGAGTATATAACACTAAATTTGAAAACCTTAAACACTAAATTTGAAATCCCTTGATTCCATGGTGAAATAAACCACAAAATGGAAGTGTAGAAAGAATGCAGCCTAATAAATGTAGAGGGCATGATACTGTAAGGGAATTATCATTTATAATATGTAGCAACAGATTCAATGAAGGATTATACAAGGTAGTTGGGAAACATGATATTTTTATGGTCTCAAGATATGTCTCTCCTCCCTCCTCCTCCTCCTTCCTCCCCCCTCTTCCTCTTCCCTCCTCCTCCTCCCTCCTCCCTCCTCCATCGACCACAGACTACTTTGCCATTACCAAGAGGAAAAAGCACCATCAGAATGGAAAGATTTAGCCTGTAATTCCAGCAACTAGGGAGGCTGAGGCAAGATGATTGAAAGTTCAAAGCCAGCCTCAGCAACTTATTAAGGCTCTAAACAACTTAGCAAGACCCTGTCTCAAAATAAAAAGGGCTGGGGACATATTCAGTGGAAAAGTGCACACACACACACACACACACACACAATTAGCCACCACCTTTATTAAGTAGTCAAATTTAACTTTACTAATAAGAGAATCTAAGTATCTAAGTATATGTCCCCATGGGATGTAGTAAAAGGTATACATGTCCTATATAGTGTTCTTGCAAAAATGCTTCAACTAACACATAGGGGGGTGTGGAGGGAGGGCAGATTTGACAAATCCAGAATGAGGGATATCCTGTAGGACAACCGGCCCAGGCTCATCACAAAATTCAATGTCGTAATTTAAAAAGGAGCTCATTGGGTTGAAATAATGAAACTGCTATAAAGGAATTTGGGGGACGGACTACTGGGGAAATTTAAGCTATGCATAGAAATACTTTATGAAATTAATTTTCTCAGATTCCGTCATGCATTAGATTATAAGGAAAATGTTCTGAGAACATGCATACTAACATTTTTTTTTGGGGGGGGTGAGAAAAATCTGCAACTGACTTTCAAAGAAATGAGCAAAAAATAAGTGTGTGGGGCTTGGAGTGTGGAGAAACGAGACCTAGAGAAATCAAACGTGGCAGACTGTTAACAGTTAATGAGCTGGAGGAATATGATATTAACACTCCTTGTACTATTTAAACTTTTCTGTCGATTTAAGTATTTTTTTTTCCTAAAAAAGTTAAAGAGGAGCAATGCTATTGAGGGAAAGCCAGAGGCATACGCATCCAGGCGCAGGGAAAAGGCAGTGTTTCCAAGTGACAGATCCCGCCCTCCCTGGGGCGCTTCTCTATAGGCCATTTGAGTCACGTGGGGCATAGCCCCGCCCACTGTTCCCAGAGGCCCGAGCGCGCGGCGGACTATTCGGTCACTTCCTCCTTGCGGGTGCGCCACGCCATGGAGGACGAACCTCCTCCCCTGGAGGAGAGACGGAGGCTGCAGGAGGAGCTGAGCGAGTTTGTGGAGAGCTGCTGCAGGACGCTGGAGGAGGTGACGGCGTCCCTGGGCTGGAGCCTTGATCAGCTGGACCCCGGGGAAGAGAAGGCGGCGGAGGTGAGGGGCGCGGTCGCCGGGCCTTTCCGGGGACTGTCCGCCCGCGCGGTCCGCTCTGGCCGTGGGAGATAACGCGCAGGGTGCTGCGAAGGGAAGGGCGTAGGAGGCCCCCAGGCGCCGGAGCTGTCCTGACGCCCCCGGGTGCCGGGCTGGGGCGCACCATGGCCGCCTGAGCCCTCCATTGCGCCCCCCCGCCCCCCGCTGCGGCTCCTCTCCAGCCTAACTGTGGGTTGAAGGAGGGAAATGCACATCTAGGAAATAAGCCAATGGGCCTCAGTGATGCCTGCGGAGGTTTGGAGATTTGCTTTGTCATCTGTCA